TTCTTTTTTTTCAATCCTGGGGATCGAACTCAGGACCTCATGCTTGCCAGGCAGGCATGGTGCCACTGAGCTACATCTGTGGCCCCTTCCCACGGTTTCAATTGCCACCTGTGAGACGATGGCTCACAAATTGCCCTTTCTAACTCAGACTTCTCTCCTAACTCCAGATCCCGACCCCTAAATGCCTAGACATCTCCATTTTGCACCTTCTGGTCACAAGTCACACAAAACAACTCAGAATCATTTTCTTCTTCCTTTTCCCCTATATTTCCTATCTTGATGAATTGCTCATCCATTGGATGCTGGAAACTGTCATCTGAGACTCTTTTTCTCTATCAGCTCTCAGACCAATGGGGTTACAGAGCCTCTTCCTTCTGTCTACCGTCATCTTTCCACTGCTGCTGTCCCAGACTGCGGACACCTCTCACGTGGCCTCAGTACGGCCCCCTCCTGTTCTCTCCTCCTCTATGTCGTTTTCCTCCAATCCAGCCTCTACACCACAGCTAGAATAAGCTTTTTCTTCCCCGGTACTCTTTTACTCGAACTATAATGCATTGTACTGCCATTTGTTCTGATCTTCCCATAGCAAATAAAGAGTTGCCTCAGTTTGAAAAACAGTGGCACAGGGCTTGGGGCTGGGGGCTTACTCAGTGGTAGAGCTCTTGCCTAGCATTCCTGAAGCCCTGGGTTGATTTGTGTAGTGGGAAAGGAGGTGCATAGCATTTAGCATCCTATTATAAGACAGGACCATAATAGCATTAATACCCTCATGGCAGAACTTTAGGGTTTTTTTTTTTCTTTCTGCTATCAGGGATCAAACTCAGGACCTTGTGCTTTCGAGGCAGGCGCAGTGCCACTAAGCTAAATCCCCAGCCTGAGATGGATTTTGTGCCAACATTTTGCCTTTTCAGAAGAGGGCCAAGCATTCAGGCAAAGAGGAAACACTTCCAAAGGTTCAGATCCTTCCTATACCCTTTTCTGTTCATTCTTGGTTTTTGTTGTTTTGTGTATGTATGGTGCTGGGGATTGAGCCCAGGGCCTGCAAGAGCTACCTGAGGGTCAGACTAGGGATGGAAAGGGTTAATGGGATCCAGCTTTTTTTAGATTTTGAGATGGTCTCACTAAGTTGCTGCACCAGACTCAAACTTGTAAGCCTCCTGCCTCAGCCTCCCAGAGTGCTAGGATTATGGGCTTAGCCACCTTGTCCACCAATATACCTTTTTCTTGGCATTTCAGATTTTCAAATCTGAAGAAATACTTGGATGGTGGCACACAGCTATAATCCCAGTGTGTGGGAGGATGAGCCAGGAAGATCACTGTGAGTTTGAGGCCAGCCTGTGTCACATAGTGACTTTAAGAAGCCTGAACTACATAGCGAGACCTTGTTTCAAAAAAAATTTTTGTGGGCTCGGGGATTTAGCTCAGTGGTTCCACTGCCTGCCTTGAAAGTGCAAGGACCCAAGTTCAATCCTCTGTACCAAAAAAAACCCCTTTTCTTGGTTTTTTGAGACAGGGTCTCACTTTGTAGTACAGGCTGACTCACTATGAACTCACTGTGTAGAACAGGCTGGCCTTAAAACTTGTGATCCTCCAGCCTCAGCCTCCTGAGTGCTGGGATTACAGGTGTGTATCACCACATCCGGCTCAAAAAACTTTTTTTTTTTTTAAATACAGAAATACAGTATTTGTTTAGCTGGGAGAGGTGGTGCATACTTGTAATCTCAACTACTCAGGAGGCTGAAGCAGGAGTATTACAAGTTCAAGGCCAACCAGGGCAACTTAAACTTCATCTCTAACTAGAAGGACTGGGTCTGTAGCTCAGTGGTAGAATGTCCCTGGGTTCAATCCCCAGGCCCTCTGAAAACCCATAAAAGTGTTGCAGATGAGATGAACAATGTCAGTATTTTATCCTGGGGATACAGAGTAGGGGAATAAGACGAGGCTGCTGGCTATGAAACACAATTTTTGGGTTGAGATTTATGGTTTCCCTCAGATCCTTCTATAAAAAGACAAGGCCAACAATGTTTTGTTCAATTTTATTTTTCCGTACTAAAAATAACTAGTGGGTGCTGGGATTGAGAGGAGAGGTTGAGATGCTGACACGGCCTCTTATGGATGAAGTGGCCATTGCCTCTGGCTTACATGTGTCTGGGCAAGGAAAAAGAAGGGGCAATTAATCCATATCCACATCCTCACACTTTCCTTGCCCTACCGCCCCACCCCTCAGTCCCTCAACCCTCCTGCCTTCCCTTTTTATATGATTTTTCCTCCCCAGTACCGGGGATCAAACTCAGGACCTTGGGCTTGCCAGGTAGGCACAATGCCACTGAGCAACATCCCCAGCCCTTCATGTGTGCTTTTAAATATTCAAAATAGTATTGGGACGGGGTGTGGTGGTGAACAGGTAGCCAGGTGTGGTGCACATCTGTAATTCTAATACTCTGGGAGGCTGAGGCAGGGAGATCCCAAATTTGAGCAAGAACCTGTCTCAAAAAATAAAGAGGCGGGGATATAACTAAGTGTGAGGGCCCTAGGTACAATCCCCACTACTCGGATGGGGTGAGGGAGAACACAAGGAAAAAGACAAAAACCAGCAAAATGACCCTTTATTGCCTTTCCCCTCCCTGTTTGCCCTAGCAACTGAGACGCTATCAGGCCAATCAGAACCCTTTGGTAACTTGGTCAAGTAGAGAACTGTCCTCAAGTTTTTTCCTGTTTTGTGTTGCTTTTTCTTTCAGTACTGGGGACTGACCCCAGGCCCTTCCCATTGAGCTATACCCCTGAATCGCCAAGTTGCCCAAGCTGGGTGTGAACTTGTGATCCTTCTGCCTGGGTCTCTGAGAGTGCTGGGATTACAGCTATGAGCCACCATCCTGGCTCTTCTTGAGAATTCAATTGTGGGGAAAATTCCAGGACAGCTCTTTGGTAGTTACAAACATGGGCCTTGGTGTTGGACACCAACTTTGATCTTACTTGTGACTCTGCCACATACTAGCTTTGGGTTTTCTCGTTTGTTGGTTTTGTTTTTGTTTTTTTTTTTTTGGTGCTGGGGATCAAACTCAGGACCTTTCACTTGTGAGGCAGGCACAGGTACCGCTGAGCTAAAGCCCAAGCCCTGCCACATACTAGTTTTATACACCTGTTTGTAAAGTGGGGACACCACCTTACAAGGTTGTGAGCAATGGTTCAGGTAAAGTCCACATAGTAAGAAGGTCAAATATCACCTGTTGTTAAAATTCAACTATTAATTAGATCAAACTTAATATACACCATCTTAATCATCTGTTCAATAAGAATACTTTGTCTACAGTTGTGTGTATGTATGTGTGTGTGTGTGTGTGTGTGTGAGAGAGAGAGAGAGAGAGAGAGGGAGGGAGAGAGAGACAGGGTCTCACTATGCAATTCAGGCTGGCTTTGAACTCACTATGGAGCCCTGGCTAGCCTCAAACTCACGGTGATCCTCATGCCTCAGCCTCCCGAGTGCTGGGACTGTGGGACTATAGGTGTGTGCCACCACACCTGGCTGTCTCTGCAATCCTAACTGGTCCATAATTATCCACTGACCAGTAAGACGTATTATTGACCAAATAGGTGGCAGCTGGGGGTGGTGACGCACACCTGTGATCTCAGCTAAAGTACTCCAGGAGGCCAAGGCAGAAGGATTGCTTGAACCCAGGATTTCAGGTCAGCTGGAGACCCCATTTCAAAAAGAAAACAAAAGTAATAGGTAGGGTCAATGGGCAACAGTAAGGAATGACTAATGAATCAGTAACAAAATTGGGTGCCTCCGCCCTGTAAGGTGAAGCCTAGCCTGAGCAACTTAGTGAGGCCCTGTCTCAAAAATAAAAGACTGGGGTTGTACCTTAGTGTGGGTGTTCTGGGCTCAATCGCCGGTACCAAAAATAAGTAAATAAATAACAAAAAAGTGAACAAACAGTTCATGAAAACAAAGAGGGGAGAAAGCAGATGAGGAAGCACACTGGCCGGCTTCGCCCAGGCCTTGGGGTCAGGGCTCCTCAGCGGCCTCGGGAGGACCCGGCTCCTGGGCGAGGCACTTACCGGCCGCGTTTCTGTGTACACCGAAGACAGGCGGTTCCAGACGGCCTCCAGGTCCATCCTCACCAGTTTCCAGAAGGCCAGCGCGGGGCTGGGGCTGGGCCTGCGCCACAGGTGCACGGGGGTGCAGGGGAGAGGCGGTGGTGGAGGTGCAGTGGGCGGGGAGCTGCAGCCCGCGTCGGCGCGGGGGCTGGAGTTCAGCGGACCCTCCTCGCGGCGCCGGTCGCAGGTGCACTGCTTAGGTGCAAGGCCGGTGCTCGGTCCGCAGCAGGCTTAGCGCCCCGACGCGGAGGCGCCCGGAGAGGCCGCGCAGCTTCCCAGCCCTGCCTCGGAGATCACCACCCCCTCCTCCAGAGAGCGGCCCGAGGCCCGGCTGGTGCCGGTCACCGTGGCCAGGAGCCCGGCGGCGGCCCGGCCAGCCAGGGCGTCATTCTCGTCCTGCTCGGGCACCCTCGTGCGGCGGGGACGGCGGGTCCCCGAGGAGGAGGCTGACGGCCCGCGTCCCCATTGGAGCGCCGCCGGGGACCCTGGATTCAGCAGCAGGGCCCAGAGCAGCAAGGAGAAGGCAAAGCTGCTGTGGCCAGCGGTAAAGCCCTTGGAGTTGGAAGGAATGGATGAGGTCCCTGAAGTAGCCTTTGATTCTCACTCACTCACTCTCATTGCATCATAAAGGGTCTCCCCCTGAGTCTCTGACCTTTGGGAGATTTTGGGAATTACCAAAAATAGAGAATGATCAACACATGTCCAGAGTAGAAAATCAGAGCTTTATTACAATATGGAGTAAGGTGGAAAGGAAGATGGAGATCCAGGCTGAGCATTTAGAGTACAAGGTTCTTCACGGTTCCCTATGCCGGTGAGATGAAGCATGTGTGCCACCAAGCTGAGGGATCTGCGTTGGAGCCAGGAAGTGATGCTCACGATGAAGATCACAGTTTGCCTGATGAGGACAGCAGCCATTCCCAGAGACAGTGAGGCCCTGAGCTCTTCCTCTGAGGAGAACAGCCAAGTTCACGTCAGGAAAGCCATCTGCAGCAAACTTCTCCAAGAAAATCAACAGCCACGATCTTCCCCTCCAGTTCTCTCTTTGTGGCTATTGGTAACAATCTTCAGGTGGGTCCTCCATGCCCAGACCACGCTGATTCAGTTTGGCTGGGCATTGCAAGTTGACCATTAGTCAATCCCCACACCAATATTATTTCTTTCTGAGTCCAATCAGAGGACTTGTGAAGTCACCAAGTAGTAGCTAATGATAAAGTCTTCTTTGGAAAAGCCGGTTCTTTGGAAGGATAAACAAATTAGATAAACACTTACCAAGAGAAAGAAAAGAAAAGACTCATCAAGGCAATTAGATATAAAAAAGGTGAGGTTTCAACAGTCACTAATGAAATTCAAAAGATAGTAACTACTATGAAAAGTTGTAGTCCAACCAATTGGAAAATCCTGAAGAAATGGACAGTTTCCTAGACTCATCCAAACAACCAAAGCTAAGCCAAGAAGACACAAAAATGTTGAGCAGCCTAATAATAAGCAATAAAATTTAGGCAGTAATAAAAAGCTCATCAATCAAAAAAGTTCAGGACCTGATGGATTCACTGCTGAATTCTACAAAAAATTTAAGGACGGTATATCACCAATACTCCGCAATTTCTTCAATGAAATGGAAAGGGATAGAGTGCATCCAAACTCATTTCTGGAAGCCAGTTTTACTCTGATCCCCAAACCAGACAAAGACCTAACTAAAAAGGAAAACTATAGGCCAATCTCCTTATTGAATATAGATTCAAAAATCCTCAACAAAACATTAGCAAATAGAATGCAACACGTCATCAAAAAGATTATACATCATGACCAAGTAGGTTTCATCCCAGAGTTGAAAGGATGGTTCAACATATTTAAATCACTAAATACACTACATCACAAAGTCTTCTTTGGAATGGAACCTACTGCCAAATAGGAGGAGGAGAAATTCTCAAAATACCAAGAGGTAGTCAGTGATGTCCATTAGTTGTCCATGCAGGATTCCAGTGAGTCTGAGTAGGGCACCCCTGTAGGCTGATGGGGGAGGAGAGAAAGCAGTCCTCTGCATCATGGCTGCGGGATGTGGTGGGTGGGAGGAGATGGGGATTCCCTGGAAGTCATCACCAGGCACAAGGTTCCAGGCAGAATCTCAGATGGTGCTAACCAGGGGTGTAGAGGTATCTGTGTCTGGGAAAGGAAGGGTAATGGTAATCTGTTCCCCGTGAAGCATCTTGTCTTTCTCTGATAAGGGGCAGATGTGGACCCAAGAGAGTCATAGGCTCCCCATTTATCCCACACCAGCTGGATGGGTGGGGAGGGGGTCAGGTTCCCTGGGTGTAGCATCTGTGTTTGGGAGAAATCAGGCAGGACAGAAGGGGAAAGGATGACTAAGAATTCCTGTAAATTGTGTTATTAGAATTTACTTCAGTGAATAGCAGATAACAGCAGCCAGAATACACCATGAAATAGTAGATTTATTGTCACTTGGGCCAGAATTACCGAGAGCACTTTCAGTGATGAGAAAATGCCAAAAGGATCAGCACAGGTAGTGCGGAAAGAAATTTAGGGCCACGATGGATTCTTAGTGGTGTGGATATGCTGGCACTGACCCTCCGGGATTAACAGCAGGGTCGGAAATGTGGCAGCTGCCCGGGGATCCAGGGCCTGCAGCTAATGTGCTTTGGTCATGTGGCCCCTGCTGGGATTCTGGGGGAAGCTGCTGCAGTAGCCGCATGAACAGCCTCCCCAGCTGGGGAAGTGACTCTGGGTAGGTAAGGGTACAGATGTCCTGGGAGGCTTCACTGTCCTTGGATTCACTGACTGGATATCTCAACGGGAGTTCATTCAGATTGCAAATTAATTAAGAAGCGGGACACACTTATAATCTCAGGAAGGTTCTAGTTATTGGGAGATGGGTCCAGGGACTCAGCTTGCTATTCAGCCATGCCGTCCTAGGGGATTAGGTTGTTGTCTCTGCTCCGGGTCTGCTTTATGAGTTTTTCTGAACAACTCTTTCCCTGATTATAATAATAGGCCAATCCACTAACATTTATAAAGAGATTAACCACGTTTTGTTTTGTTTCATGCTGCTATTTGGCCTTGTTAAGAAAACAGGTTCTAGGTGAGGTTTCAACTCTACTTCGTATCATTCATGCCACATTCCTCCCTCTTCACACCTAATTCAGACCTATGTAATCATACAACTGTGTAAATCTAAACTCATGTTTTTACCACATTTCTAGTGGCACATACATTTCTGGTGTCTCATGTAATTTATTAGGTATTCCTATAGAGTAATTCCAGTTACTATCCGCACTTCACCGAGGAGAAAACAGAGGCAGACGCTGCTTATGAAACCTGTCTCCAGGTACATAGCCAGCTCCTGTTCTCAAGATTCAAGCCCAGGTGATTTGGTCGCAGAGTCAGTGTCCCTACTCAGCTCTCCAGAGCAGATCTGGGGCAGCCTGTGCTATTTACCATCTGTGAAATCCAATGCTCAGAGTGCATTCTTCTCAACGAGTGTAACTCAGAGCAGCGGATTTGATTTTCTTGCCCTCCAACCTACACCATTTTGCCAGGCTAGTTTCCACACTGTCCAGAGCATCTCTCTTTTTCTCACACCATCCCCTCCTTCTGTGTCCTCTGTTCTTCCTTAACACCCACTCCCTCAGTGGGGCTATTTTCCACTTTACTCCTGCTCAGAGCCCTTCTCCTGGCTGCCGTGGATGAACCCACAGTTGACTGACAAATAAAAGATCAAGTTCTGTAAAGTAAGCAGACATGGGCGCCAAACTGGGTCAGAGCTGCCACTCATGGCAGGCACAGAGCAGGCTCCAGCTGTCACTCTGGGTCCTGGGGAAGTAGGAGGCTGGGGTACTTACACATAACGGATGCAGGCATGTTTATTTCTGATATTCTCATCTCCATCCCTCCTTGAAAGTCACGAGATTTCCAGTTTATGCCATGATGTTCTTGTGCCCAGAAGTTATAAGTGACTCCAGGAAAGTTCTAGTCCTTGGGAAATGGATCTAGAGACCCAGGTTGCTATTCAGCCATTTGGTCCTAGGAAACTATAGGTCATCTCCTCTGCTTCCATTGTGCTTTATGAGCTGGCAGCTCAGAAATGAGGACATCACTAGGGATGAAAGGCTGGAAGGAGATAAGTAATTCACTTTATAGAAAAAATATAAAATAATATTTGCAGAAGACAGAGGCATGGGATGAATGTCATTGGTGAGGTTTCTGGACCACAGGAGAGAGAATTCTACAGCAAGAGAGAGCATGATTTGGAGGTGAGTAGGTTTTGTGGCAGAAATAGTTTGATTTCACACCAAAACCTTGCACATTCAGGAGACTTTACAGATGATTAAACTGCATGTCAGTGACTTTCTCTGTAAAGAGGAAGTTGTTTAAAGGGAGTGTTTCCAATAATTTCCAGAACATTCTTCTAAAATTGTTTCATCTGCCCATGCACTCACCCAATCAGTATTTCACAGGGGGTTGTGTATCCCCCAGGACAGGAAAGCGGGAGACAGGCTCCTTCAGAGTGCTGTGTCCTGGTGCAAAGACTGTGACTATAAAGGCAGGAGAGCTTGAAGTTTTGCACTTGGCATCAGAGACCATGCACTTCATCCATTACAGTGGCTGATCATGTTGGAGCACAGATTGCAGAGATATTTTGTCCCTTCAGACTGGCTCCCTGAGACAAGCTACCCGTGAGCTCTGCCATCGTCTGTCCAACCCTCGTTCACACTCTTGTGCTTGTGCGTGGCCTTGAAAGCACTTGCTAGTGCAGATGCCTCACACACAGATGCATTCACAAGGGCAAAGCCTGCCTAGTTCTCCTCCCTCAAGGTCACTGCTGTGTTTGTCAGTGAGCATGAGGAGCTAGCATGACCTCTCCTAGCACCCTGCCAGATGATCCACCGTCCCAACCATGTCCTTGGATGTCATGACTCAGAAGCTTCCAAGCCCCAAGCCTCATCTGTGTGGGCCCGGATTTCACAGTGGTCTTCACAGTGTCTCCTGGATTGTGAGTCCTAGTTGTCAACACACATAAAATTTGCCTCTGTATCCTAAGTGTGTAGATAGATGTGCGCTGAATGGCTGGTAGGTAATTATATAACTTTTGATTAGTGCTATGTACAGGTACTAAGTGTGTTGGTTACTTTTCTCTTGTTGCTGAGACAAAATACCCAACACCTAAAGTTAAAGGGGAAAAGGTTTATTTGGTTTATGTTTACAGAGGTTTCAGTCCATGATCAGCTGGCTCCAAGGCAGGGAAAGCAAACAGGCATCACAGAGGAGAAACAGCAGGGCACACACAAAGTAGCAAAAACAACAAGGGACCTTAGCAGCATCTTTCTGCCTTTCTTATTGCATCCAGACTACCAGGGATTAGGGTGG